TGCGGATTCTCTGAGAAGGTGAGGGGAGATGGCGAGCTTCGGAATTGTGTATTTGGGTTTGTTGGTCAGGTGCTTGAGTGTGATCGGTTATAGGGTGTGGATAGGGTACGTCAGAGGTAGTGGTGGTGGTAGTGGGGGCGTACGGATCGGAGATGGATTTGGTATGGCGTCGCCGTCCTTTTGGACGCGTACGCGAATGAGAGCGAGAGCGTGGTGGGTTTGTAGTGAGAGAAGGAGGTGGAGAAGAAGAGGGTTGGGGGTCGCTTTGTTTCCTGCGTCTACCCTTATTGCTACTATCACTGGGCTGGTTATTTGAATTGCTGCGTTTGTCAGAGGGTGAGGGGTCGTTGTCGGTGGAGGGGAAGGGGTAGGGTGTCTTGGGCCTCCCCCGCTCCTGAGCGGTAGAAGTTTGGGAGGTGAATGCGGGCAGACCTGGAGGAAGTGGCGAAGAACGCGAGGTGGGTGAATAAGAGGGATCGTCACCCAGTTCACCTGCACCCTCCCTCAACTCCTGAGGAAAAGAGTCGGGGTGGTAATACTGGTCTTCGTCATCATCTTTGCTGGTGTATCGCACGCCTTCTTCATCGTCTAGGGGTCCCTCATGGGCGTGGCTGCTCGAGTGAGGGCCCTCACTCTCGCTCGCCTGGATGGTCGACAACACGGGTTGGTGTTGTTGCGACACCCTTCTCTGCTGAGGTACGTACAGGTGAGATTGAGAAGAGGTCGTAGTGGGCCGCGATGAAGGGACGAGAGTCGCCTGGGAGCTGATCGAGAATTTCCGACCGTACTCATCCACGGCGTCTGCCTCTGTAAAATACTCGTTCCCATTCGAGTTTGTCATTGAAGAGTAGTTGGAGGTCGAAGCAAAGCCAGACGACCCTAACGTGTGGGCGCCCCAGGTACTTGGAGTGCTGCTGCTATGTTGTTGATGAGGAGGATCGGCACGCCTCAATGCGTCCTCCTCCCCTGCGTCTCCAAACTCTTCCTGCGCGTCGAAATACGACGAGGATGATTCTCCCGAGTTTGTTCGGTGGTGGTTGTTATTATCAGCGTCGTCATGATCATCTGCCTCGTCCTGGGCGTCATTGTCGTGCAAACTTCTGGGGGAGGGACGACCAAAGAGAGCATTGTGTAGGTAAACCGCTGCTGCCATCCACCGTGTTGAGCCTCCGCATCCAGCGAATGTACAGATAACCTTTCAACCCGCGTTTCTCGAATAGAGTGCAAAGTGCAAAGGCGGGTGAGGGGCGGGTGGTAAGCTTGAACAAGCAAGAGGGCGGGCGGGGGCGAGGAGTAGAAAAAGGTCGTAAGAACACCAATTCAGGGAATAAAGCAATAATGCTGCAGAATCTAAAACCGTTATGTACAGGGCTTTTGTTAGCGGATGTTGCACGACAAAAAACGACGTCGGGTCCAACCAAGAAGTAGCGAAAGAAAGGAAGAAAAGTGCGAATGTTGAGAAATGATTTTTGGACCAAAAGGGCTCGAGGGAGAGGGCGACGACTGAATTGGGCCTCACCTGTTTGTTATTCCTTACCTCTTGACGTCGACGGCTTGCAAAAAAACAGTAATAACCACACT